ATTAATTTGTACTTCTCAGATGGAAAACGAATTCTAAAGATGAAAACCCCTTAGTCTGTTCTCTTAGTATTGCCTTTACCTTCGCTAAACCGCTTTGTTATGTATAAATACTCAATACTTTTCCTTTTGTATCAAAATATGTGCACAAGTCTAATACTTTTAAATACCATTATCTTTTCCTTATGTTAACAATTTGAAAATATCGATACTCAGGGGGAAACCTATCAATATAATCAGTTTGCATTTAAAACAATTCTACCCAACAACCGAAAAGTTATAAGTTATTATAATAATATTGGTTGCAATTTATAATTTTACCTTCTAATGGTCCCAAGATAATTAATAAACCGTTAATGTTATTGATTTCATTAATTTTAGGCTGCTCCTTCAAACTTCCTTCACACATTAATACTATAAGTTGGACGTTATCTGTAAAGATAGTTTCGATCTAAAATGTTATAAAATAAAAAATATTGATATTCTTTTAAGTACATATTGATACTTACAAGGAACATAAGTTACCCGATTAAGTCATTTTTTAACTACATGAAACTTAATATATTAAACTTACTTTAACATTTCCGGTAGAGCTTAACCTATTTCATTAAGTTCTATTACATATTTCTGGTTGCGTCCTTTTTTTAGCCTTATATTACTCTGCATTTCCTTAGAATATTCATATTATCAGAGGACTTACGTCATCCTCAAAAGGAAAATGACTAAGACTAATACAAACATAAATAATAAAATATGAAACATAACCCTTTTTCTATATTTTTCTTAATCACGTAAAATAGATATATAATATTTTAAAATCCGTTTCAAATATGGTTTTGGGCAGCAACTAGGCAGTTCGATATAGTTTTATATAAAGAGTGAAATTACCTAAATAAAAAATTCATTTATATACAAATAAAAATATAACTTTATCGAATATCAAGATTAAAAACCATATTTATAAATGTATATTACTCACAAGAATATATATATATTTACGACTCGTTTAAACATTATAGACATATCAAAGACTTTCTAATTCAATTTAAGAACATAACCACATTAATAATTTGCGGACACTTCTTATTCATATATATGCCAGCTAGAAAAATTTAAATTTCAATAGGATGTCATTACTGACACCTGTGGATATTCCTTGATGATTGATGCAAAGCCCAACTCCTTACTCCTTTCGTTTTCTTTTACCTATGTGTGAAACATTCACATGCTAAGTATTCACTTAGTGAGGCATATACAAACTAAAGTAAGATATTTAAATATATTAGAATTTCTTAATAATCAAATTGTTGAAATTATCATATAAAAATCTATGAACATGTGAAAATGACTTGTTAAAGAAATTCTTTCATCATATAACCTATAAAATAGCATTTCTCATATATATGGAATTTTATGCCAATCAACGTATTCAATAAAAAATTTATTTTCAACGAATAATTCAAACATTTACTTTTCACCGTGCTAAACAGAGTATAGTTAATGTAGAATACATTATCACTATACTAAATAACGCAATGGAAATTCATAACGTCACAACATTATGAATTCCATAATTGCACTCATAGTGCCAGGAGTAATTGAATGTACTAAATACTGGAGTACACAATTTTACTAATACAATAGTAGCGAATGTACTAGAATCAGGAGTCCACGAATGCACAAATTCTAGTGTGCAAGATTGCACTAATACAGGAGTGCATGAATGCACTAATACAGGAGGTACTAATATGGAGTGCCAAATGCACTAATACAGGAGTGCATATTTAAACTAATATAGGATCGATCGATAACCACTCCACCTTATGGCTTGTCAATTGTACCAATAATTCTCAATAAAAATACAATCGATTTTTAAAACAAGATCATATATCATTTACTTATAAGGAGCATCCGTACATACTAACATATCGAAATAATATAGAATAGTGCATTGGGTTCATAATCGAAACATTTCATTTCCACATAACATGGATATATCATGAACATCATCAATCACTTTCCTTTTAGTATATACATATCATAATCATCTTGTAATAAACATCATATATATCATGTCAATGTAATGAAATTGGCTTATTTCAAACATTTAAGGCAATATATAACATAAGAATATCATAAAATGTATTTATCACAATTTCATATTCTGACAGTTTGCACTATCCTCAAAGAAAAGTTATTATGTATTAATCTACGCACTTAAAAATTATTCTGTTTATATCACAGGAAACTAGACTTGAATAAAAATCTAACCATATAAGGCTCCCTTTCTAGTTCAACTTGTACAATTTATGATAACTTTTCTAATCCAGCTTACAAAATCTATTTTGAGCAGAATCTGTTTCCCTGTTTTTTGACCTTTTATCGGTTAAAAATTCATATATTTTTTTATACACTTTGAAATCAGTATCCCTTTTATTTAAACAAAACTAGACAAATATACGAATCCAATGGTATAAAAATTATCTTCTAATAATTCTTGTAGAATTTATGGTTATTTTATAAACTTACGATTCAAATTACATATTTAGGTAGATTTCACTAATTTGTATTCTTAGCTTATTCACTAATTCTATTAGCTTATCAAATGAACATATATGCATGAATCACAAAGTTGCTTAAAATTTAGAAGTCACTTCTTACCATGGTAGCTTCATCATTGGCTCAACACATGCCACTATTTGCTCGATAACATAATTACAATTTAAATATGCACTCATCTGGTATACTTAGCTTGCAAACCTTTCCTAATAATTCAACTTTCATCCTTGAGGTTCTCCTTAATTTTAATATTGTTTGATCTTGATTTCAATCATAATTTAGATGAACATAATTTGCAAAACATATACATTTCAAACCACATGTTAAAATCTTACTAACATAGGCACACAATAGAAAATAAACTCCTAAAAATCTTTTGATATTCATTCAATACTAATTTAATGTTACAACGTCAATGTTGACCTTAACACTTCAAATTGACCATTCAAGTCACTTTTTATCCATATTCATTAGTAATTCACATAATAATTTCAACTTAACATTTTAACCAATAATTATGAATTCTTTTAGAATTCATTTCAACTTTTCCATTTTATTCAAAATGGTCCCCTTACCATTTAACTTCACAGTCAAGCTTTTAACAACTTTTCAAGCATACTAACAATCCATTTAAACATTGTACATCAATTACTAGTCAAATTTCATTTCAATTCCATTATTTCTATACTTTGCAATTTGGTCCCTAAACATTGTAAAAAATTCCAAATTGATCCAAATCACATTTTAAAGTATGTAGAGTCATTATTTTATCCATTCTAAGACTTGGGAAATTTTTGAATAATTTTCCCCGTATTTATTCCCGAAGGCCGAATGTATATATGTTATAGAAGCAAAAATTTTACTTTGACTCAAGCATAATTTCAAGCTCCTAACATCATTTCCATTCAGTCTTAACCATTTCCATATCCAAAACAATAATTCTTCCATAAACCCTAGCTTAATTGAATTCAATATAGCCATTTCTACATGATTTTAATCATCACACATGCTTGGAAACAACTCAACTACATCATTAACATAACAATCCATTTTAACTCATTAAATTCAACTTCCCCTTCATCTACCCAAATAATCCAACTAATTATCCAAGCATGAAAACCATGAAATATTCATATCAAATGATAGAGAATTTGATGTAGATCAAGTCTCTGTTTCACACCTTCATCAAAAAATAAAATAAAATGGCTTAAAATGAAAAATAATTTTTTTTCTTACCTTTGACTATTGCTCACGGCAAAGAGAGGATATGGAGAAGATGAAGTCTTGATTTTTCTACAAAAATATCCTAAGAAACTTGGCTTAATCATTTAAAATGAATTTAAAATTCATATTTTGCGAAAATACATTTTTACCCTTAAAATCTCTTAATAATTGCCATCATGCCAAAGCCATGACATCATTTCTTACATCATCGTCCTTTCATCATCCATAAACTAATATTTTATTAGCTTCCAACTTTATTCTTGCATTTTTCAAAAAATTACAATATAGTCACTTTATTTCAATGGTCTTGATTTACCATGGAAAATTAACTTAAATCCAATTATCCATGTTAATTCTGCTGCTTAAAAGTAAAAAAACCCCAACATTATTAACCTTTAAATGACATCCTTCTAATTTTCCTAAATTTTCAATTTGATCTGATTATACGAATATTTTACCAAACTTTATTACTTAATAGCTTTTAACACAATTTTTGGATCAAAATAAAAAAAACATAAATAACACTCGCGAGGGTAAACTATTCATTTACGGGATAAAATTTCTTTTAGGAAAAGTACCATTTTGCTCCCTGAACCTTTTCTAAATTTATACTTTGACGATTAAACTTTTAAAAATTATATTTTCATCATTTGCAAAAATTTTGGGGTATTATAATAAATTCATGTTTCATATTTATTTTATTCATTTAAAGGAGTTTTCTAATCATTCTTTTCATATTAAAATAGTATTTTCACGTGCAAAAAATGATTTACAAAAGGTGAAAATTATGAATGTAGACACTATATTTTGTTTGGGCTTATTTATTTATTTTTTATTATTAGTTTATTATTTCTAATTGGTATTATTAGTTTATGGGTTATTATTATTAATTAATCAATTAATATATATATATATATATAATAATTAAGAATAAATACTAATATTATGGTTATTATTTTCATGTTACAAAACAAGACCCAGCGAGTGGCCCAAACAGCAAGCCCAACTACAAAGCGCCCAATAGGCCCACAAGGGCAGCTAGGGTTTTCACCACACAGATAGGAGGCATCGGAAATGGACCAATCGAACAGTCCAGATCACTTGGAACTAGGGTTTTCATCTCAACCCTTCAACTGCCAGCTAGCCTAGCCCTTAAATCTGGACCCATCTAATGGTCAAGAGTACATTTTACAGTTTTCGTAACTCTAACTATTCCCACATTGCCACCGTCCAAGCCGAACCATGCTCGCAACCGCCACTCACTACCATCAAATATCAAGCAAGGAGGCCAAATCAATGAAAAAAATATAATACACATTTTTTTTTACCTGGATAAAAATAAGAGATCAAATCTGAGACTGTCAACTGCCAAAATAGGGACAATCATACCTATTTTCTCGAAAAATCACATGCAAGATAAAAGGAGGCAGCCATGACATGCTAAAGGGAAACTAGTTCGAAGAGAGAAGAAAAAATGAAAATAGCCTCACCGCTGGACTCGAGTTGTCTTGCTTCGCCGAAGTCGTAGAGTCTCCAAAAATAAAAAGAAAGGTACCCTTATTTTCTCGGGTTTTGTTTTTAGGGAGTATGCGAGATTGATTTAGAAAATTAGGGTTCGATTTGCCTAAGGGAACCGGTGAGAGGCCAAAAAGAATGTTTTTGAGCCCTTATCGGTGTCGTTTATGGTGGCCGGAGAGAGAGAATTTCATTCTGTTAGTTGAGAGAAATAAAAAGGAGAGAGAGGATGAGAGAAGAGGGAAACGAAGGTTGGGATGAAAAAAAATAAGGGATTAGAGTTTATGAAAATGTTTTAATGGGATATTTAAACCCCTCAAAACGGTATTGTTTTGGGTTAGGATTTACTGAAAATTAGCGTGTGGCCTAATCATGATAGAAGGGTCTCCGACTTTGTATATTTCATTTTAGTCACTTAATATTAGTTTGCATTATTATACTTGTGGTTCTTACTTTTGTTTGATTTATATTTTAGTCACAACGCTTTATTTATGTACTATGGTTAAATGCCTGATATGGGTAGTGAGTTTTATATTTATTTTATTTTAGTCCTTGGTTTTATTATATTTAGAAAAATGCTCTATTTGCATTTTAGATTCTTGTGATTCTGTTATGTGTATTTGTTAGTCACTATATTAGGCTTAATGTTTGGTGAACTCTTTGGTCTTATTGCATGTTAGACCGTATGGATCCGTTTTCTTTATATTTAAACCATCGTATTTATTGTATAATGTTAGTTCTGTTATTTTAAAACTAAGCATATACATTCTTTTAGTTCTTATTAACCTTATATTATAACATTTTAAATATATATGCTTATGTACATGAATGGAAGATTAATTTTTCGGTTGTATGTATATGTTATACATTTTTTTATATTTCATATAAATATTTGTTTTTTTTATTTTCTTTTGACCGTTATGTATGTTTATATATATATATATATATGAATAGTTTACATTTTATTCATACATGTATATTTTACTTATTAAAAGAGAATATTTTTCAGTATTGTATTATATATATTTCATAAAATTGTTATTATGACCACTATAAAATTATATGAGAGCTTTTGTTAATTGTTTGACTAATCCGTGGAAGACCTCCAAATACATGGGGTGCCAAATACATGGGTTATTTGAATAAAATAATATATTTAATTTATTTATTATTTATTTATGATATTTTAAGTCAATTAGATATATTTTATTCACTTTCAATAAATGTATAATTTTTGACATTCTCATGTTTTCTTTATAAGTGAAATTGTTTTAATAAAATAAATATTCATTGTTGATTTTATTTCTTTTATTATTTTGTTATTTAAATTTGTTATGCATATGTTACATTATGTTTGATATTCCAACCATCTTATATCTTTCATTTATTAGCTATTGCATTCATGAATCAAGTACATGCTTTCTCATTTTTTTTTACAATCAAGCATAATGTTGTCTCCCGTTATGGGTCAACGAAATTGCATCCAATATAACTATATTTCAATTTTCGTTAATTCACATGCTATTGCATTAAATCGTTTTCATCTAGTCAAATATTTCAAAAGAAGTTCGCTCATTTTTAAGATTCATTGAAATAAAAGGATCGTAATTTAAATTTTGGATTCGGATATATAAGGTTCCAATACTTAGACAACGTATAATAGAGAGGTACCAATGTTGGGCATTGTGGGGTACTTACCCTTCCCCACGTATAATCGACTCTCGAATCCTTCAAAATGAATCTTTTGTAAATACATACCAATTTATGTATTAAAAATGATTTTTCTTAAAATTGTTTTAAAAGACGTTTTTAGATATTCGACTTACCTAACCCAAAGGTCGATGGTGACTCCAATTCAAATAAATTTTAAATTTATCAACAATATCAATTTTCCAAAAATAATATCATAATTATTTTTAATTTTTTATTCCAAAAAATGATTATGACAGCTTGATGATTTCACTGGGGACTATTTTGAGAGTTAAGCCTTATTCGATTATACGTTGTCCAAGTGGTTGAAATTTTATAAAATTGAACCTTTACTTGAATTATGATCCTTTAATTTCAATTCTCAATTTTCATAACCACGCATCCTTTTTTATTCTTGTAAATAGTTGTATTGATGTTTGATTTCATTGACTTTAGAATTGTTAAAGTTATCCAAAATGAGTGTTTATTTTTCTTTTTGTCGAAAGGTTTGTGAGTTCTTTCTGACATACATCACATGCATTTGCACATCATAAGCTTTATACCCGAGCTTTTTTCGATTAAGTGGGAGTGAATCTCTAGTGCCCTTCGTGAGCATCCCTTCACATAGGCTAGTGAATCCAGAGTAGATGCCCTTATGATCTTCGTGGGTAGTCCTCCATGTTAGACATAAGGAGTGTACTCCCTCGAATTGAACTTGATCTGCTTAAGTTTATAATGCATGTGGATTGAGGGTTTGGCAGCCCAAAGGGGTACAAACATTAAGGATAATTCGAGAGAGCCAAAACCATGCATATAGTGAACCCTAGACTGGTCACCCTAGGTAGAGCCATACCAAACCTCTTTCCGTCAATAGATACCAAAATAAGTGTTACACAAAAAATGAATGATTCTAAACTTTTACCTTAGCTTTAAAATCATAGAATATTTTTTTCTTCAAATGAAATCATGTGAACTATATAAAGTATGATTAGGATTTACTTCCTAAAATAAATCATGTCGGGTAGAAAGCATGTATGGGTAGGATTTCTATTTAATAAAGGCATGCTCGAGTAGATACAATGATTGGCTAGGTGTTACATTTATATTTAAATATCACCTTTTATCGGTTATTTTACATGTACTAACTCATTTTTCACCTTTTTACATTGCATCATCATAACATAACATGAAGGAATTGATCCACAGATGACTCTCTAATTGGAAAATTTTCATAAATAGAGGAAAAATTTATCATCAAGTAGTCACATACACAAACATGCACCAATGGTTAAGGAAAACTCAAAGAACAAGGAATCTTGCTTGAAGTTCATGCATCAAAATTGACTGATAGAACGACATCTGAGACTTGAAATGTAATCCCTTGATCTGAGAAATGATGCAATAGTAGATTCTTATCTACGACCGTTCTGCCATTAATCATCAAGATGTTAGGCATAACTCCAACGCCGCATGGGCATCATACGATATGGGTCATATTTTAAAGGAAGCTTCTAGACAAGCCAAAGGATCATAGAACACTTAAGGGGCTTAGTTTTCAAGGACGAAGCTCCGAGATGAAGTATCGACCCAGTCCAGACCCAACATACAAGAAAACGTATCTCTATAAAATGGACTATCTTGTAAAAATGAAGAATTTTGTCTCTAATGAAACTTGTTCTATGATATTCATCTTTAGGATCAATACCATTTTCATTGCATTCACATTCACATCTATTTATTTACATTACACATATTTAAGCATTTTTACATGAATTAATCATGCAAGCTTGAGAATGATTCGTGGAGGGTTCCATGGCATAAATTTTGAAAGTGAATTAATGTTACCCCAATCGTATCTAGAGAAAGATTAAAAGTATGAATAAGATATTAGCATGTCTCACTAGGATCGAAAGGCTCATGGAGCAACTCATCAAAAATCAAATAAAAATGATCGATGAAGAAAAAAAGTTTCAAGTAGAGTCGAGAGATCAGATGTATACATTATTGAAGATGATGAATATTGTGATCTATGGAGAGAAATCGTTAGAGAAACTTGTTGTACAAGAAAAAGTCAAGATTTTGAATGAGGATCTAAATGTTGGTTGTAAGGCCATGATGACATCAACAGGTGATCAAGAGACTATTAAGGCACATGGTAGCTCAAGTTAACTTCAGAAGTCAGATGTGTTCCCGAAAGATGCTGGTAAAATGATAATGAGTGAAAAAAATAATAGAAGATGAGCTTTATTTGAGGAAAAGGGGCATAGAATAAGTTCATGTACAAGTCAATAAAGCCAAAAAGAACAAGAAAGAAAAAAGACACCATTTGTCCTGATCCTTGTTCATACTTAGATATGATAATTTCTCTTAAAAAATATCATTTTCGCATTCAATCGATCAAGATGCCATGTATATAAAAAACTAGGTTGGAAGCGTACTAAAAACTCATATGAATATCACCTTGGTCTGTTTATTCACTCTACAAAGGACCATCGACTCTTAATATTAAGGGTTCACGAACTCATTTACTGATGGAATTAAAGAGATAGAAGGTCAAGGTCAAAAACTTGCAAACCAATCCCTTATCCTGACACAAACTGTAGATCAAGACTTGAAACTTCATGAACATTCCTCAAAATCTCCATCATCACAAGCTAGCGCTGATTCAAATTCGCAAGGAGATATAAATGAGAAGATAGTTCCACAGAGTGTCCAATTTCACCCAGCCCAATTTTTATACTCGAAGATGCATGAAGCACCACAACATGTCCTGCCACATTTATTCCCATATCAGGAATGGTATCATGAGAAGGTTTATTGGAAACACCCTGTTGAAACCTTGAGATGCCCCGTCGAAGGTTGTGGCAGCAGTAAGAATGGAATTCAAGAAACTAAAAAGATAAGAGAAGAGTAAGGGTAGTGAGACCCCAAATTTGAAAATACCTCATCCATGGGTATTAACATAGCTGGACCAGAGGAAGACTACGTTACTGAAGAAAATAAAGTAAAAAATGAGATAAAATAGTTAGACGAGAGGTAGTCCGTGACTGGCCTTTACACTTAATAACAAATTGGTCAGATGTAACTCTCAATGCATCGCATACACCAATTCTGAATTTCTAGAAGCATGTGGGCATTAGAGGGTAAGAACTTGGAAGATCCACTCGAGCACCAGATGTCCGATGAGTAATAGGGCATCTTAACGTGAATTAAGATGAGATTATTCTATCTGTCTTGAAGCTTTATTTCAATTGTACTATCTTGTTTGAACTTATTTTTGTGCTTTATTTCATTAAATATTTTGTAAATCACTTGATGTTTTAACTTATGCTACTTCCTAAGTCATGAGCAATGAACAAATTTTAATCTTGTAGTTTTTTAAATATTATTTGAATTAAAATATCTTTTGAGAATCAAGGTTATGGCCTCTGGGCAAGTGGCAAGATTGAATCCTCATAAAACAAGGGCCCTTGATCTTGCTCCAGAAAATACACCCAAAAATCATATCATTATCTTGTATGGACCAAGCTAGCATTCTTCTCCCATGAAGAGATGATCAAGGGGCTTG